TTTTATCTTGGTTGCTTCGTGGCCCTCATTGGATGATCTCCATCTCTGAATCAGGAACTAGGAGGAACAGGACCTGGGAATCTGTACTTACCCAAGCCTTCTGGGTAATGGTGATTATTATCACAATTGCTATGTATTCAAGTTGGAGACCTGTTGGAATAGCTAGTCACATTATCCTCACAGCTTTCCTGTGATCAGAAGAGCAGTGCACTGCCTGGCATTTGAGGACTGTCAACTATGAGACCCAGAGTCAAGGTCAGGGCCAGTGGTATCTCTGACTCACCCATAACAATGGATTCATCCCAGTTTTTACAATTAACTCAATTTTTTCCTCCTTGGGCCAGGCATCAGAATCATCTGTGGGGTTCCAGAAATGCAGGTGGCTAGCTTTACCTCATGCCAGTTAAGGCAGGAGCTCTGCAGAATGAGTACTGAGAAGGGGGGTGTGGAATAAATCCAAGGCCTAAACTCATGCTAGCTAAGTTAGCTAAGTGTTTTACCACTAAGCTGCACCCTTAGCTCCAGGAATTTGTATTTTTAAAGGCTACCAGGTGATGCCAATGTAGAGCCAGGGTCGAAAATCACTGGTGGCCATTATTTCAGAAGTTCTCATCCTTATGTTTAATAATGAGGGTTCTAATCAACATATTGCTGACACATGAGGGTCTCAGTTTCCTCTTCTTAAATACAAACACCATAGACAAGAGCCAGCCCTGACCAGTGCTCTTACCCTGAGTGTCCTCCACCTGGTCACCACTATGGTGAGTCCTAGGGATGTGGTGGAGGAATCTCTCTGCCCACAGATCAGGACAGTCACTTCTCACTAATGACTTTCAATACTTCACCTGGTGAGGAGGTGCGACAGGAAGCAGGGAATGGGAGAGAGTTGTGGGTGTACTTTTCTCAGGAAGGTCAGCCAAGGCTTATTCTTTGTAGCCTATTTGGTAGCAGGCCCTTCATTTCACCCAGGTTTCTCCATTAACTGGCAGACATGTACTAATTATCCTCTGATAATTTTTCCTTGGTGATCATTTCCTCGTTCTCTATTCAACTTTGTGGAATCTCCTTTTTGTCTTAATTAGGCTACCTGGTGGTTTAGTGACTACATTAGTTTCTTAAAGAAACATCACTTCATTTTATTTATTGCTTCCATGCATTTTCACCTTCGATTTTATTATTCTTCTCCATTGGGTGGCTTTTATTAGGGTTATTTGGTATTTAAATATGTTTTCTAATTAGAAGTATAAATAAATTTTTGTGTGCATCTAGTTGACCTAGTTCTGATACATGCTTGAGTTGTATTTAGTCATCTGCCATTTGTTTCCATGTATTCATAATTTTTCCAGCTTAAATGACACTTTTGCTCCCACTGTTCTCTCCCCATTCATTTTTTTCCAGACAGAAGACTAAGAGCATTTTTTTGGGGGGGGTGTTAATTCATTCAGAAATAACAATAATCATAACTGCATGACATATGGGGATGTATATGAGAATTAAAATGTAGACTGCTTTCCTGTTCAATTCCATATTAAGTTTAATCATCCATCCATTTATTCTCTCTAAACATTAATGGAGTGTCTACTGCTTGCCAAAGACTGTGAGATGAGAGACCAGATTCCCTCCAAGGCGACCCTTGCATTCTATTGGTGAAAGACTAATAATAAATAGATATAGAAATATGTGGTTCCCATGAATGACTCTGTACCATGACCTGAAATACCAGTGAGCAGCAAAACCGTACCACTTTTCTCAAAGACATTAAAGAAGGCCTATTGGTAAGTATCATAAGGAGGTAAGTACTTACTGAAAGAGGCAGACCAGTTGTGATTAATGCAGGTTCGGGCAACATGTACTGAGAACGGGCTCCATCTCTGCCCTGGGCTGGATACTGGGATGGATGCTGCACTGGATACCGTGATATCTGGGAGTGTCTCATCCAACCCAATGCACTAGCATTTTATCCTCTTCCCCTCCTCTTCTTTCCATTTTCTCCTTCCTGGCTTACTCTCCACCAGATGAATCAGAATCTTAAATTAGAACATTCAATGAGAAATGTCACTATGCAGCAGACTCCCAAGGCTGGTTTCCATGACTAACTCTCAGCAGCAACTTGACTCCATGGACAGCTTTCTTATAATCACTTCTGAGCACAGGGATTTTTCTGGAAAATCAGAGAGAGGACTCTGAAATGTAGAGGAACAAAACCAATGTCTAAATTCAATAAAGCCCCAAATTAAGAGGACACCATAACTGATTATACTTTGCAACCCAATGCAATAATTCTGAAGTCAATTTCAAGAAGAGTTAGGCTTTCCTAGTTTTTAGAATATTTTCAAGATATGATAAACAGAACAATGTGTTGTCGGCGTACTACGGACAGTACAGTGCATAGTTGACATCAGAATTAGACCTGTAGAAGTTTTCTATAGGACATTGGTGGAATCTCGAAGTAGTGGGTAATATAAAGATTACTTTATAAAATAACAAATGCTAAAGAGGACAAGAAGAAAAGAAAACTCATACTGCAGGAACATAAATTAGTACAGCCATTATGGAAAACAGTAGGTTGATTCTTTAGAAAACTAAAAATAGAACCACCATATGATCCAGCAACCCAACTACTAGGTATAGAGCCAAAGGAGAGGGACTCATTATACCAAAAAAAATACCTGAACTCCCATGTCTATTGGAGGACAATTGATAATAGCTAAAACATGGAACCTACCTGGATGCCCTCTAGTGGATGAATGGATAAAGAAAATTATACACACACACACACATACACACAATGAACCATTATTCAGCCATAAAAATCCTGTCATTTTCATTAACATGGATGGAACTAGAGATGATCATGTTAAGTAAAATAAGCCAGACACTGAAAGAGAAATGCCACAAGTTCTCAGTCATTTGTGGAAACTAATGAATCAGTCTCAAAAAGAACAAAAAGGGATAGTGGTACCAGAGACTGGGAAGGAAATGAGACAGGGGATGCAGAGAAATTCAAGTAGGGGTAACAAAACCTAGAGAGGAAGAATTAGTTCTGCTTCTTCTTTAGCAGAGTAAGTAACTGTAGGTTAAAACAATCTGGTATTTTCCAAGCACAGAAAAATTAATGGTTGAAGAGATCGTGTAGTACAACTGCTTCAATCTGAGGCAGGTTCAGGCAGCCTAAGATTCAGGCAGCCTAAGAAGGTACACGGAGCAGAAGGGCGATCTGACATGCTTTTATTTGATGGGTAGGTGGGAATCTATGAAGTGGAAAGTCCCATTTAGTTTATATACAGGATTAAAACGAAGCTAGCAGCTTGCCAAGTATGATATCAAGGGCTATATAAGAAAACACGTGCACCCTTGTTCTTGACTTTAATAAGACATCTTTACCATTGCTTCCTGGACATCAGGGTGAGGGAGCCTGACTCACGCCATTTTCCCTATAGATGGAAATGCTTATTACCTTGATTATTACACATTCTGTATATTTACTGAATTACCACATGTACCAATACAGATACAAAAAAAAAAAAAAACCAACTATGTCTCAATATAACATAAATAAAATGGTTGTATAATTAAAATGAGTATCTGATGTGTGTGTGTCAAGGATTTAAATGCACAACAATGCAACTGTAAAAATGTTAGAAGAAAGGATTGGTGATTAAAAAAAATAATAAAGCAGCAAAGCCAAAGAATGACAGAAACCCGGAAACAACCAGTGAGGCTGATACTACAGATCTATTTTTAAGGGACACAAAATACTCAAAAAGCTTGCAGATCCACTCATAGGGATCAGTGCCCCGGAGTGGATTTGGGATATCTTCTTTGAATCCAAGGAGGTCGGAGCAGCTGCATTCAGTTGTGCTGGCCATTGCAGGGATCAGGTTAAAGCTCTTCAGTGCTAAGGGCTAAGTTTCTGGGGCCCACGTGCATATCGTTTTGTAAAGTGACCTGGCAGATAAATCCGGGGATGCTTAATAGGGGACACAAGGTGGGACAGGTAAGCGGGGAGAGCCATCCCCTCTCCCATCCACTAGACTCAGCACCTCCGAGTCCTCCAGGTGCAGCTCCCATGCGGGCTTCGTGTGGAGGCGGTTCCGGAAGAGGCCAGCCCCGCAGGGTTGAAATTGAAGCTGAGCGAGCGAGCAAGGGCCGGCGGCTGCCCTGCTGCGTGGGTCATCTCCCCGGGAGGCCAGGCAGGTCCTCCCATTTCCCCCACCACCGCCGGCCATTTTTCTGACCGCTGCCTGGAACAGGGCTGACCCTGAACAGGCTGGGAGCCAAGTGTGCACCTCTCCTGGAGAGGAGCTTTGCGCCCCCCAATCGACCCACATCAGAGGTGCTCAGACGCTGCAGGTTCAGGCAAGGAAACCTGGGCAGGTTTGCATAGCGCACAGGTTGGACCTCTTCTGGCCCAGGTGAGTTTCAGGGTGAGGGCCAAAGGGCCAGGGGAGAGGATGCCTGGGTGCAGGGCCAACTCGGGGTGCAGCAGCTCAAGTGTATGTGTCGGGTACATTAGGGGTACAGAGGATGTTGTGCTATGCCAATGTGTGGTAAGTGGGAAGAACCGGTACTGACTTGTCCATTGGGATTGAACCCAGAGGCACTTGACCACTGAACCACATCCCTAGTCCTTTTTTTTTTTTTTTTTTTTGAGACAGGGTATTGCTCAATTGCGTAGGGCCTCACTAAATTGCTGAGACTGGCTTTGAACTTGAGATTCTCCAGCCTCAGCCTCCCGAGTCACCAGGATTACAAACTGGGCCACCAAGCCAGGTTTGATTCTTCAATTTCCAGCAGTGTTTTAGCAGGTTCTCTGTCACTTCTCTGCCAACTCTGGAGCAATCCGTCTCATTGGTGTGATTGGAAAACGTGTGTAGTTAGTTACCCCGTGCCTCATTTTTTAACCTAATTAATCGCTTTTGTTTTTTGTTTTAAATTGCCAGGAGACTTTCCAATGATATCTGTTACAATCATGTTCTTTCAGGGCTTTTCTCCTTCAGGGTCAACGCCCTCAGGACCACAATGCCTGGCAGGGGCACAATGCCTGGCAGGGCCAGGAACACCATGCCTGGCAGAGCCAGGAGGAGGGCCGATCAGCCTATCCCCCAACGTGAGGCACCTGGAGCTGCTGCAATGAGTGCTGTAAAGTTAGTTGTTTCTTTTATGCTAGAGATCCCTGCTGGAGGTGAAAAGAATTTAAAAGCCCAGGTTCTACCACTATAGTCCAGTATAGAGTTCTTTTCTGTTAAGTGAGAACTGATAGATTTCTAAGAAAAGTCAGATTTCTTGGCTGAGGGGATGCAGAGCTCTCTGCTGTTTCCCTGCCTGGTTTTTACCACATGCAAATGGATTTTTCCTTTCAACCCAGAGTGATCACAAAGGTTTCTAAATTTCTTGACTTGAGCCCAGGACACCTCTTTGGAAACGACTTGGAAACAAGCATCTTCATTAAAGTCCTCAACCACCTGAACCAGATAGAATTTGCAGTCTTGTTTAACACTTGATATCCCTGCTATGTGGATATGTTCTGTGTTCTTTTAGTGCATATCAACTTTGCACTGGTGAAGGAGAACCCTATCCCTATTGATGGAGTCCAGCTTGGTGACCTCTAGTGGGACTGGGTACTGCTTGGCATTGGCAAGACACATCTGAACCTGCCCATTCTGTGTTATTCCTCTCCTCTTCTGCTGCCCTCAAGCCTCACCATCTCCTCTCTAGTCCTAATTTCAAGTCTTTGACATTGACTCCCAGGTCATTGAGACAGAGCATTGACCTCAATGTCAATGACCTCCTAACTTTGTCTCCTCAACCAGGAGCATCAAAACCCCTGGTCTCAGCCCCTGAGGCCCTAGGCACTAGCTTGGCTTTCATCGGGGATCCTTCAGCAGTCCTTGATCCCAGGAATCCCTCCGGCAACTCCCCTGTCAGCTACTCAAGGCAGCTGGGTATTGCTCATCTAAAGCATTTGCATTCAAATGAGATTCCTCCTGTTCAGCAGGTAATCTCCCCAACAGTCCCGCCTTCACCACCCACTTCCTGCTGCAGAACTGTCTCCGTTCTGACCCCCAGTTCTTCTCTTTTCTCTCTCTCCTCCTGCTGGGCTCTCCTCAGGGCTCTACTGAGACTGCTCTTAGGCTCCATGGTGCCCTCTGCCTCCCCTAATCCGCAGATTGTTTCTGTCCTGCCTGCACGTGCCCTCCTTGATGAACTCCCTCTAGCCACCATACACACCATTGTTCTCCTCCTCCAGCACTGCCACCCCTCTAAACTGTTCTTGGCTGGCTTCTCCTCCTTGCTCCCATGACATGCCCTGGGTCCTCTTCTCTCTTCCATTTAGACTCACTCCCTTGCGATATTAGCCAGTGTCATGGCTTGAAATGTCTGGTATGTGGACAGTCCTCATATCTAGATCTCCAGCCAGAACCTCTCCTGCACTGCCCGACGATCCTCACAGATGTTCATGGACACACCACACTCCCAATTTCCCCGACCAAACATGTCATTCCCACCTCATTCAAAGGCGTTCCGTTCATCCATTTGTGCAGGCCAACATCTTTGGGTTCATCCTAGACTCTATGGCAAACCTGTCCCATAGACCACCAGGGAATACTGTCTCTCACTCCCACCCAAAGCCAGGAATGGAAGCCTATCTAGTATCCACCAGCTTCTCAGCACCTGGATCCCTCCCTCTGGTCCCAGTTGTCCGCAACCCTCCCTGGACACTGCAGTGGCCTAACTGGTCTTCCTGCCTCTGCCCTTGTCTTCCACTTGATCTATTCCTAACAAGGAACCAGGCAAACCAGGTCCTGTAGCTCTTGTGCCCAACACCCTGGAAAGGCTCCCATTTTCAAGGTGAAAGGCAAGTTCCTTCAAATGGCCTCCCTTTTTTTTTTTAAATCCCACTGTCTTCTCATCCTGTGTCTCACCTTTCCAGCCACACTGGATCCTCGTTCTTCTTGAACATTTCTACCTGTGCACCCCAGAAATTTTGCCCTCCCGCCTCTATTTATGGCCCGTGGGACTTGGCTCATTCACTCACCTTCTTCAAGTCTGATCCCATGTCAGTGTCCCCTGAGGTTCCTCATTGCTCCCCATGAGTTGGAGCAGACTTCCCCTCCCACCCAGCTTCCCAGAACCCCCATTCTGTTTTGCTCTGCATTTTTTCATTTTCTTAGCTGCAAGGTGCAACAGAAGTTATTTTTTCAAAATTTACTTTTTACTGGAATGTAAGCTTTTCCAAGGGAGAGGCTTTCTTTGGGTCCCGAGCATATATCATCTGGGCAACACTACTTTTTATTTCTATCTCCTAAAATCCTGCAGGCCCCTCAGGCTGCTGCGTGGCAGCGTGGCCCCTACCCACCACGAGAGGAGGTCCAAGCAGCTGCACAATGGCAGCCAAGAGGTGCAGAAGGAGGGGTCCAGGCTCCAGGTGAGATGAGGGAAGGAGAGTGTGTGAGGGGCAGGGGAGGATTGTCAGGGGAAGGTGCACACACCAACAGAAAGCTCCAGTATTCCCATGATGCTTGGCAGGATGGGGAGCATGGGCAGCTTATAACTATCTCCCTTCCTGCAGTGAATTATTTGACTGTCGGTGTTTTATTTGCCTCACATTTGAAAAGCTAATGAAAAAGAAGCAGAGAACATTATTCATGAGCCAATTCAATATTGTTCTCAAGGTTAGATAATATATTTATAGAGATAACCCTAAGTTAGCCAGGAGTTCTGGGAACATGATTCTTTTGTCTGTTTAGGACAATACACACATAAATGTACCAAAATAAAATTTTTTTAAAAAATAAAATAAATTGCTGTGTTGAGAAGGTTGAGCAGCTCTTTAACCACTGGGTGTTTTCCTGCCTTTCAGCATCCTTGCAGGTGACAGGTTTCATCATTATACAGGTGAGCCCTCAGGCTCAGCTGTCGTCATTTGCCAAGGGTGTGGCTAATGCAATCAAACTTCAGACCCCATTCTCTGCCTCGCTTCTTATAGCCAAATAACTTGTGATAGGCTAAACCTATGAACATTAAATAAGAAACAGAAAAATGTTTTAATATACAAAATCCAGAACCAAGAAAGTGAAGTTTGAATACATCACATTAAAACACACTTGTATCCCCCATCACAGTTCTGCAGGTGTGACTAAATATCATGTATAAAGTATGTGGTGTGTAGCAAATGCCAATAATTGATAACTCCTGTTTTCTTCCACTGAAAATGAATTTGATTGCTGGATGTGTCAGGAGCTAGTTCTAAATTCTATACATAAAATATAGTGAATAGTCATTCTCCTGTAGAAATACAGACTCTTAATACTGTGTAAGAGCACCATAAACTAAGAATAATAGTTTTCAGAAGTAACATTTCAGAAGTAAAACACTTTGGTCATCCAAACTATGGACTCTTGGCCATTCAAGGAAACAGGATTTACAGATATCTTTCACAATGCACTATTCACACTTTCATTCAAATCTTGCCTATGTGGAATATTTAAATAAATCCTAGAAGGTAATGAAATAGGCTGAGGTCCTTTCCAGTTTTTCTACATAGAAAGGTCAGTTCCTCCATACTAAAAGGGAATTGCCTGGATGGATGGATAGATAGATATAATTTTTTTTTTCACTTCATTCATTCATTCATTCATTCGGCACTTTCTGCTGCCCACTAGAGGGCAGCACATAGTGCCAGGCGCTGAGCTATGAAGCTCTGCCACCAGAAATCAGGGTATTTTCCAAATCTTGTGAGGGTGAACAAATCGTGTAACAGGAATAAATCAAGTGCCAATAAAAGAGATTATTGGGAAACTTTCTTAGTAAACTTCTTGCAACCTGTCCATGAAATGACGTTTGGATCTTTCAGTGGCATCATTTTAAACCTTGATTGTTTTGCTTGATAGTTGGGGTTACATTGTTCTTTTCCCTTTTTGCTGTATAAATTTGCAGCCTTTGCATGTATTCATATGTAGGAGAACCTCAACTGGAAGCTGGACTGCAGGCATTATCTGTGAGGCCTAAGAGGCGTGCTGGAGTTTTTCAAGATCTTGTGGTGAATACCAGGCAGAACTTGGAGCATGTTAGACACTCAAAAACAGGTATATTGGCCTATGACCATTACATTTTATGGAGCTGTTCATTTTAAGCTCGCCTTTGATTCAATTTTGCAGAAATGACCATTCATTGTAGAGTTTGGGTAGACTGCTTATCTTTCCTTAAAAGCCCATAAAATAGAATGACTCAGTTCTTTGGCTGTCCTGAGCTTTAAAAAATTACAACTGTTATCCATAGTGGCTTATTTTTCCTTTTGGTAGCTGTAGAGATTTAGTTTGGGGTTTGATTTATATAATATTTTAATCTTAAAGTTAAAACTCTCTAAATTTATATTTACATCAGTTCTCACCAAATTGACAGGCACTCTGGAGATCAGGTGTGTACAAATGTTTGTTTACTCTTTATCTCCGTGATTGACCTAAGTTTGTTTCCGAATATCATAGTGTCCAGACTATTTGGGGTCAAGTCAGTCACTTTGTCCCATTTTCGACATGTGCATTATTTTTTTCAGGTTCAGAAGGTAAAGCGGTAAAACTCGTAACAAACCATTTCCGATTGACATGTCCCCAGTGGATTGCATATAAGTACAACGTTGACTTCAAACCAGATGTAGACGATACAAATCTGCGTTCACAGTTACTTTTTCAACATGAAAGTGTTTTTGGAATAAGCCATATATTTGATGGAAACTCTTTATTGTTATCTCGAAGGCTAACAAATCAGGTTAAGTAATATCTGACGTTTTCTTTTCTTTCTCTTGCATTTACACTTTGCTATCACAAAACTGTTTCTGTACAAGAGCGTGTAGAGAAGTTTTGAGGATCTCTTGCCCACAGGACTTGTAACTAACCTGCGTGTCACATTTGATCAATATGAATGATCAATAATGCTTCTGATGTTAGTGCTTAAGGGGACTTTAAATGGAATTGAAGCACAATGTGGCTGGAAAATGCTGATTAAAAATTTTTTTTCATTTACTCTCAAACTTTAGCCAAAAAAAATGTTTGGATAAGGACATATTTTCCTTTTATGCATTTTCATTATCTTCTTTGAACTTCATCATCAATAAATTTTGATATTAGTTAACCAAATAAATTATTTATAGGAGCTTAAGTTAAAAATTCTAAAGCTTGGCTTTTGTGAACCGTGTTTTCTACACACAGGCATCATAGTGGAGTGTTGGATATCTAAGGGTCATGTTGGCTTGTTATTCAATGAAACTTTTCTTTCTTGAAAGAACGTCTGCAACATTTTTGTTTTGTACTCCTTAGGAGATGGAATTTGTCAGCTATACCCTAAGCCGTAGCATTGTGAAGATCACACTCCAGCTTTCCAAGGAACTGCCGCCCAACCACCCTGACTGCGTGCGCTATTACAACGTTCTCTTCAGAAGGTGTGTTGGCAAGATTGAGTTCCCATGAGCTGCGCTCATGGTTCACTTAGGCATCAGTGCTGGTGAACAGAGCTGTGTGCTTCTCACACTTTGTGAATTGACAGCCTCCATGTATTGAAATGGTGAGAAGTCTTGGGGAAGAAGTGACACTGGGGCAAGCTCTGTGGCTCATCTCCAACACTCATTCTCCCTGCCCACACCCATTTCCGGTGTTTGGTACCTGCCAGAGTTATCACATGCATAATGGGTGTTTTTATCTGGAGCACCTGCTTGCCCCTTCTGGAGTCACTATGTTGACCAGATGTTCAGAATTACAAACTATGTGTCCCAAGTTTTAAGAAGTTTAAGTTCAGTTCTGGGAATGAAGGACATTCTCCTGAGATTCATATAATTTATCTTTTAAAAAGAGCCAGAAAAATTTAAGTTACATGAGCCTTTATATCTTCCCTGGGAGCATTGGCACATGCAGCTCTGGAGGCTGAGGCAGGAGGACTGTGAGTTCAAAGCCAGCCTCAGCACTTTAGAGAGGCCCTGTCCCTAAATAAAATATTAAAAAGGGCTGGGGATGTGGTTTGGTGGCTAAGCACCCCTGGGTTCAATCCCTGCTATCAAAAATGTATAATATATAAATTTGGTGTGTGTGTGTGTGTGTGTGTGTGTGTGTGTGTATATATATATATATATATATATATATATATATATATATAACCAATATATATTTTTTGTATTTATATACACATATTTTTGAGATATATATGCATGTATGAGAATATGAATATATAATCTTCATGTAATTTATTATCGGGTGCTTTGTCTTAATTGATAATAGAACCAAAACCATTGGCAGACTGTTTTCCTAATGTATCTTACGTGTGACCAAATGCTTAGTAACATTCACTCTTTTCAATAAATTCTATTGTTTCAACTTCTAGAACTCTGAGGCAGATGAATTTGAAACAAATCGGCCGCCACTATTATGACTACAGGAAGAAATGTGTTATGTTGGGCCATGGGTTTGTATAAAGTAGAAAATACAATGTTCTATAGACTTAATATATTGTTTTTAGAAAGTTGCTCTATTTGAACTGGTATGATTTTTAAAGTGATATACCCTTTAAATTGTACCACCCACCATGATCAACTAAAGTTCAATTTAGTATAAATTAAAAAGAAAAATTAACCTTAAAAAACCCAGCATGATGCTCTGCCACTGAGGCTTATTTTAAAATGAACATTTTTTTTTCTCTTCTCCCTCTCTACCTCCCTAACCTGGGGTCGGGGGGACAGGTTTACTCTTGGTCCCCATGCAGTTATCTGTCTGTCCTTAAGTGTATACCCACTACAGGAGTGAAGAATTTCAGACTTGGGGATGGCACCGGAAGAGCTAAGAAATGATTATCTCCCAAAATAACAAGTGAAGTAGGACCAGGAACACCTGGAATTGCCTCTGTCAAAACCCTCTGGTCCCTATGATGGGCAGAATCGGTCTCTGGGACAGGAGCCCCCTGTGTTTCTCCTTTCCTAGCAAAGCAATTAAACTTTTGGTTTTATTAGAAAAAAGTGGGGGGGTAGGAACCTAGTATGAAAAACATAAACCTAAAAGTATTCAGTTATTGTATAAACAATACAGGAAGCCTAAATCAATTAAAAATTGAGTGATAAATGTCTGAAATTTAGTAGCAATTATATATTATATGCATCTCTATTGTTGGGATATGTGTGTATATAAATTTATTTTAAAAGTTAGAGATGATGCATTAAGCCTGTATGTAGTAATAACAATTAACAAAGAGATGTGCTACTTATAAGTCATCTTTATTTGAAGGTCCTTGGAAAGATCAACTATTGCTAAAATTAAGGGATCAAAACCAGTTGACTTGTACCTATTTTAGACCCAGAGCTCAGGCCTTGAACACTTTGCTTCCTGCGCAGAGGCTGACCATCATACTCTCATGCGGTTTCTTGTGCCTGCAGGTTGGAAGTCTTGCCTGGTTATATTACTTCCATTCTTCCATATGAAAACAGCCTTACTCTGTGTGCTGACCTGAGCCATAAACTACTCCGATTGGAAACTGCTTATGATTTAATAATGAGACTAAAGGAGAACAATGAATTTGCCAAAATCAAAGAAGAATTAGTTGGGTCAATTGTTTTTACAAGGTAAGTCTACTTTTTAAACAAATTTATATAATCATCAATTTGATTACTCTCTTCACCCCACACACAAGATGTTCCTGTACTTCTTGAATCACTGAAGGTGGACATTTAGGACTAGAAATAGCATGAAAATCATAAGAACCATCTGCTGCACTTCCCATCTGGTTACAGCCTGGGAGAGAGTCTCTAGGCTCTTGTTGTCCCTCAGTCCCTGACGCCCATTCATTGGGTCTGCTTGCCCAGAGCAGCATGTTTTTTTTCTGCATTTCTTCCCTTTTATTTTTTTGGGTGAATGATAAGCTATTTTAAAAAATTAGCTCTTACATATAATCCATTGGCTACATTTTATTGGAAGGAAGTTTTTATCTTAATTTTCCTTCTACACAGAAGTATTAACTTGATAAGACAGTGGAAAGCAGTCTTAAAAAGAAAGCTAGAGAACTCGAATTTCCCAACTGCAACCTTATTAAAAAGTGACAACAATTGAGACAGGGTGATACTGGCACAAATATAGACCCGCAGACCACTGTTACAGAGCTGACTCCAGAAGCCGGCCCTCACCCTTGCAGTTTCTTATTTTTACAGGGATGTCAAGTTAATTCAACAAGAGGGAAAAGCCTTCTCAGTTATATGCTGGGGTGACTGGATATCCACCTGACCCCTCACACAATGCACAAAGTTTACCCAAATTTAATTCAAGAACTAACTCAAAATAGACCATGTGTACACGTATATAAGAGCTAGGAGTAAATTTTGAGTTTGGATTAGGCAAACTCTTCTTGGATAGGACATCAAGAGCACAGAGATAAAGAACATTATAGGTAGATTGGACTTCAAGTTAACAAATTTTATTCTAAGTACATTGTCAAAAAAGTGAAAGGACAACTGACGGACAAGGAGAAAATACATGCAAGTCACATGTATTAGAAGTAGTAGTATCTAGAATATATAAAGGACACAACCCAACAAGGAAGCCCACCAATTTTTTAAAAAATGGACACATCATCGGAGTAGACCTTTCTACGAAGACCTTTCTCCAAAGCAGATATTCTGGCCAGTGAGCACATGAGAGAATGTTCAACATCATCAGCCAGTGAGACTCAAAATAAGGTACTACTTCACATCCATGATGGTGGCTAATATGAAAGCAGATATCAACAACTTGGTAAGGATCTGGGAAATGTAGAACCAACTTTCTACATTGAGGTAGAAATGTAAAATAATATAATTTCTTTGTAAAATGTCATTTGAGGAAGTGTCAGACTAAAGATGGCATACCACATGACCCAGAAACCCCACTCCTAGTTATAAACCTAAGGGAACTGAAAACTTTTATCTGCCAAAATTCATACTTGCATGTTCATAACATAATTCATAATAACCCAACTATAAACAAACAACCCTAAGGTCCCTCAACTGGTGTATGAATAAACAAAATGTTTATCCATCCAGCTGAAAATGTGTGTATTTGTGCATATACATATGTATTGTGTGTGTGTGTATGTATGTGTATAAATATATATACTACAAAGATTTTGGAACCCAGGGCCTCACCCATGCTAGGCAAGTGCTCTAGCACTGAGCTACAGTCCCAGCCCTTTGTTTTCCTTTGTGACAGGGTCTTGCTAAGTTTCCCAGGCTGGCCTGGAACCTGCCATCCTCCTGACTCAGCCTTTCTAGTAACTGGGATTATAGGCACAGGCCACTGCTTCTGATTCCAGTAGAATATTATTTGGAAATTTAAAAAAAAAATCAATTACCAACACTTTCTACAGCCTAAATGAACCTTGAAAACATTAAGCTAAGTGAAAGCCAAGAAAGATTACATGCTGTACAGAGGCAGGAAGTTGATTTTTGGCTGCCTTAGGGCTGGGAGACTAGGGTGGAAATGAATGGTTGCTTATGGTTATGATGCTCTTTCTGGGGAGGTAGAAATATACTAAGATTGTTGATTGTACGACTCTGCAGATACAATGAAAACCATTGGCTCATTCACTTAAATGGGTGAGTTGTACAGTATGTGAATCAAATCTTGTTAGTATTGATATATCCTACAATTACTTGGAGGATTAAAAATACTTTCGTGTGCAATGACTAAGTCGGGAATACCCTCTTACGTTGTGGTTCCGCCACAGATACAACAACAGAACCTACAGGGTGGATGCTATCGATTGGAATCAGACTCCCAGAGATACATTTCCAAAATCAGATGGTGGCCAAATCACCTATGTGCAATACTACAAACAGGTAAGAAATCTTATTTTAAAAATTTTGAATCTTAAAATTTTTCAAACTTAATAGAATCAACTTCTCAGAAGTCTTACTTAGGAACCTTAGATATACAGTATGAACATACTCCCCTTTGGGGACTAGGGCTGCCTCATCTATTATCCATGTGTTCAAGTGCCTGTGTAGAGGGCAAAGTGGCATCATTAGACAGCTCTAGCAGGGCCACTCTGTCAGCCTTAGAAGTGGCTAGAGTAGTTTTCAACATGTAGATGGACTATTGGATAAAAATAAAATATGGTCAGTCTTCAGATAGAAAAATGTACTTGTCTAGAAGTCTCAACTCTGTAGTACTTGGTGCAAAAAGAATAAAAATGATCAATTACACTTGATGTGATGTCTCAGTGATGTGCTAAGGCACATTATGGGTTCCACAATTTCAAATGTGAGTGTTCACAAAGAAATAAGTAAACTTAGTAAACCAGGGAGCACCAGTTGATACAATCGACTTTCTAGTTTGGGAAGATGAAGAATGATCATTTAAAGAATGCCAGATACTTGTAGCAACTAGAAACAAGTTGCAGATGGATGATAAAGAAAAGCTTATATTTGTATATAAGAACCCAAAATGTAGCCACGTGGAGCCATTGATAATGACTGCACTCTGGTGGGTGTCCAAGGGAACAATAGTACCCTGGAGTGAATGCCACCCTCAGCCTTGTGTCTTCCATCCAGAAAGCAGTCAGTGCCTCAGTCGCCTCTTGGCTGTGCATGCTAGGACAGTGGAGCCTCCTGATCTTGAGGAACTTGGGTTCTCACAGCAGGCAGACAAGAAAAAACTATTCTGATCCTCTAACATAGATGGGGCCTCTCTTGTGGCTACGTAGATTGAGTGGACATGGAAGCTCCTGAGAAGCTGAAATGTGCATGTCATAAGGGAGTGAGCTGTGTGCAGATCAGGGAGAAGAAAAGGAAGGGGACAGCGAAGGCCCCTTTCTCACGGTGTTTCCCTATCTCGGAGCTGGTGTGTTCTCTGGAGAATTAAGGTGGTTCACAGAGGGAGCTGTGTCAACAGGGCTGGGGCTGCACCCTTATTGGAGGGTGAGGTAGGGGACGCCTTGTATAGAATTTTGAGCCCTGGGAAAACTTGAAGATTACTGTGATCAAATGGTAATATGTAGATGGATCAAGTGATCTGGGGTTGGTTTGTTTTTATTTTTATTTTTTGTTTTTTGGGGTTTTTTTTTTTGGGGGGGGGGCTTTTGGTATTTTATTTTGTTGTGGCCCTGGGATTGAACCTGGGTCCTTGAGCATGCTAAGCAAGCACTCTACCACGGAGCCCCATCCCCAGCTCAAGTGATCTGTTTTTAAATACTATTTCATCTATATATACAGAGAGAACACAGGCAGGTAAAAATGGAGGCAAGGAATCCAGCGAGGAGTTTATTAAAGGGACTCAACATAAATGGTGGTGTGCTGGCTTGGAGAGGTGAATAGGAATGGGCAGGACTTGTGGATGGTGTGGATCTTATGGGTGCCAGAAAAAGGAGAGAGAAATGGGTGGATGATGGCATCATCCTCTGGGATGGGGGAGCCTGGAAGAAGCTGGCTTGGGTGGGCTGGAGGTATGAGAGGCTCTGATGGAGCGGCAAACTGCAAAATCAGTGAACTCCAAACCATGAGAAAGTTCTAGGACAGGGACACAGGTAAATCCCAGGTGCGTTTTAAATAACTACAGGCCTCTTTAAGGAAAAGACATCTCTCTTCTGTATCAATGTCTTAAGCTAGCCTCCTAGTTTCAATTCTTAAGAATAGTCACAAAAGCTGAATTTGAGGTTGTCTTCTTCGGAGTGTGGGAACTTTCTTGAAATTCCCAGGTGCTTGAGAAACACCTGATGCCAGAATCCATGTGACAGATTGTCATCAGCCAGGACCTTGCTGATAAGTGATGTGGAAGGCTCTAGCAGGATTGCTATTTTTTTTTTTTTTTTTCAGGAGGAAAGGCACCACACTTTGAGAATTGCAGCATCAGTGTAAGAAGTTGTTTGTGACATCTGGTTTTTAAAATGTCTTTTCCTCCTGGAAACAGGAACTATGAGCTTAGGGGAGAAGACTGAGAAGAAATGTTGGATGTAGAAATTTTTAAAAGGGGTCAGGATTTGCCTTTCCCCATTAGTGTGAGTCGTCTTAAAAGTTCTTGGTGTGCATTAGGAGTTTTCAAGGCAAGGTCAGTGATCACTGTATACTCCTAAGTCTCTCAGCCATCGCTGTGTATAAGGGTAGAGAACAGTACAGTGACCTCAATGTGATGCTTTGTGGGAGCCCGACTCTCTCTCTGCCACGTCTGCTTATAGGAACCATAGCGACGTGGTCCCTGGGACATCAACATTAAGAAAACTTAAAAAGGGCTCAGGATGTGGCTCAAGTGGTAGTGTGCTCGTCTGGCATGCGTGAGGCACTGGGTTCGATCCTCAGCACCACATAAAAGAAAATAAAGATATTGTGTCCACCTAAAACTAAAAAATAAATGTTTAAAAAAAAAAAAAAAAAAAAAACTTAAAAAGTCCTCTTCATGCTTTCTTAACAGCTAAGGGAAAAGTAATCACCAGCACACCTCCAGGCACCATGTGATCAAAAACACGTGCTTTTGTATCTCTTTATGTCAGGTTTTCTGTTTTTTTCTGATAGTAACACCCGTCTTCCTTGCTTCTCTTGAGCAGAAATACAATGAATATATCACTGACTTCAAACAGCCACTCTTGGTCAGCCAAGGAAGATGGAAAAAGGGCCGGAGGCTCATGCCACGTTCACCTATACGTCTGGTCCCTCAGCTGTGCTACCTGACAGGTAATGCTGACTGATGGAGTCTCTGTGGAAGACAACCCAAGTCTTTAAAAGTCAGATTCAGCTGGTGCCGTGGTGCGCACCTATGATCCCAGCAGCACAGGCCAAGGCAGGAGGGTGGCAAATCTGAGGCGTTGAGGCAACTTAGTGAAACCCTCCCTAAAAACAAAAAGGGTAGGGATGTAGCTCAGTGGTCGAGCACTTGCCCAGTTCAGTCTCTGAATTTTTAATACCAGAGAAAAAGTCACTGATTGAATTATGATGTAGAAATAGTCTTTTTGCAGAAGCCTATGACCCAGAATTGCAACCCCTAAGTTGGTCAGGTGTGGTTCCCTCTACCTCCACTACCTCGGTCTTCTGTAATATAAATTTATTCTTGCTTGTGTAGCTGTATTTTAATCTTTTTTAAAAGGTCTAACAGGTACCATACAAAGAGGATCTTCAATAATGAGAGAATTGTCTGCAAAAATGAGACCAGGTCCCATGAACAGGTCAAGAGTATTGAAGGAGTTCAGGGACTCTCTACAAGTGTAAGTGCTAATTTTCTGACTGTGCTTGTGCTTGAGTGTCGTGTGCACTGAGTTTGAGCTCTGTGTGTATATCCCTTGACATCTCAGATTGTTCTATTAAAAAATGACTATTGCAGAAAAAAATGCTATTTGGGGGAGAGGGGGAGCAATTCCAGTTTTTCTGATTGGGCAATGTTAGAGGACCAAGATACAGGAATAATGAAAGAGGCTCTAAATTGCCTATGGAAATGTGAGTCCAGGGGCAAGATTATTTCACAGTTCTATCTGCAATATTGTTAAGTTCCAGCTGCTTGCCCCTTGCTTGACCAATTAAGTTGACAGCTAAGGAGTTGAGGCAAGGCAAATGACTTTATTCAAAGAGTGGCTCAGTGAGAAGAAAGAGGGAATTCTCTGCCCAAAGCCCTTCCTCTTAGGAAGCTGATCTCGGGGGGCTTATGTTAGTGATTGACGGGTGTTCCCAGACAGTCAGGCATCCTGCAGCAGGAAGGCTGAATAATGGATATCCAAATCGTGATGTTTTCCAGTTTCTAAAATCTCAACAACTCCCACCATGAACAGAAACACCTCCACTGCTGAATTTCAATATTTCAACCCTGAGAACAGGCAGTAATGGATTCAAGGAAAATGGTCCTGATTTGCATATCTCTAATTGCCATTGCTTATTTTCCTTGATCTGATCACAATGGGAATATTTATATTTTCAGAGACCAGAATGCACAAAGAGAACTTAGTCGCTGGAGTTTTGTGCTTGACCCAGACTTTTTGTCTATCTCAGGAAGAACTTTGAAAGAAGAAAGAATCTTCCAACATAAAGATTCGGTAAGATGAATTGTCAGGATTTGCATGTCATGGTGGAGTCAAATAGAGTAATACACAAAGGAACCAATTCAGTCATGTTTATAGCTATGCCTGTTGCTCTTCTCAGTACACCTATTCTTTCAGTGAGATGACAGGCAAACACTGCATAAGGATATGTGTGAAGCACTTGGCTATAGTGAGCTCTTTCATCTCTTTATCTAAATCTGTGGACATTTGCTCCTGGCAGTTGGAAGACTGATCTTCCAAGTATATTCTTAAGGACCAGATACATAGAATCGGAATGATGCAGAGGAACCTGTAATAAAGGAAAAGACTGAAGTTTTAACAGTATTAGAGCAAAGAAGGATTAATGAATCCGGCAGCACTCGGAACCAGAAGAGGTTCAGAGTTTCATGGCAGCAGTGTGGGCAGTGAGCTGCCACAGGCTGATGTAGAAGTACAATGAAAACGATATATTTGACTGGAGTCGAAAGACCCTACATAGATGTTGGTTGGCAGTTTCTGGTTGGTAAATTTCCTAGTTTCATTTTACTTTTTACATTAGGTCTCCACGTACCTCTGAGGAAACTGAGATCCTGGAATCATCTTAGTCTAATGAACTCTCAACTAAAACTTCACGACACCCAAGATAGAATCCAAGTTCTGCTAATCTAGATCTTAAATATGTGATCCACACATTATTTAAGCTAAGAATTGAGAGATTTCAATAGAAATCGCACAGGTATACAATGGAAATGCCCTTGGATAATGTTGATGTCGAAAAAAAATGATTTATGTCTTATCATTCTTTTCTAGTTTGAGGCTGATCCACCAGCAGACTGGTTAAAAGGATCAAAAAGTACATCCTTACTTAGGATGTCACTGAAACATTGGGTGATACTTCATACTAGGAACTGTGTTTCTGAGGCCAAGATCTTAGAGGAGAATCTAAACTCGGTCACCCCTGCCATGGGCATTACATTAGAAAAAGCAAAAATGTAAGTAGAGTGGCAATTTCCAATTTAGAAATCGGTTGTTAACAATCTGAAAGTAGAGTCTCTGAGATATCAACTGGGAGGAATCATTTTCTTTATCAAAACTCTGAAACCCTATAAGTAAATGTTAATTTCTTATAGTCAACAAACACTAGAACAGACTTTTGTGACATGCTTTGTGGCTGTTAGGATACATGTTGAGGAAGACATGGGAATGAGCAACTTGGTGTGAATGGATGGGGAATACTTTTTAAATTTGTTTACTTATACATGACAGGAGAATGTATTTTGGCAGAATATACATACATAGAGTTTAACTTATTCTATTTAGGATCCTACTCTTGTGGTTGTACACGAGGTGAAGTTACACTGGTCATGTATACAAATACAAGGCTAGCAAAGTGAGGACTGATGAAATTGTACTGTCTTTCCCCACCCACCCCTTTGTTTGCTTTTGTCTAATCCAATGGGTTATTGTTATTCCCCTCCCCAGCCTCCTTTGTTTGGGTTAGCATCCACAAAGCAGAGAGAACATTCAGCTTTTGGTTTGGGGGATTGGCTTATTTCACTTAGCATGATAGTCTCCAGTTCTGGATGGGGACTGTTGAGAACTAGGTCCCACTGGATGCAGTGGCACAGCATGTAATCCTTGTGGTCAGGAAGCTGAGGCAGGAGACTCACAAGTTCAAAGTCAGCCTCAGAAACTTAGTGAGCCTCTGAGCAACTTAGCAAGATCCTGTCTCTAAATAAAATATAAAAAGGGCTGGGCCTGTGGCTCAGGGGTTTAATGCCCCTGGGTTCAATCCCCAGTACAAAAAAAAGAACAACAAGGGGCTGGGGTTGTGGCTCATTGTTAGTGCTTGTCTTGCATGTATGGGGCACTGGGTTTGATCCTCAGCACCACATAAAAATATATAGATGAAATAAAGGTATTGTATCCATCTACAACTTAAAGTTTTTAAAAAGAACCAAGGTCCCAATCATGTTTCTAAAAATTGAACTTATTTTTAAATGGTTTAATCTTTTTGTAGCAATTTTGGGTTCACAGAAAAATGGAGAATGTATGGAGACTTCCCGTGTACTCCCTACCTCCTCCATTATCAATATCTCCCACTAAAGCAGTGCATTTAAAATAATTGAAACTATATTAATAAACCTATATTAATCCATTACAATTGCTCAATCTATAGTTTACATTGTACAAAATCAAGAATGAAATTCATTCTATGGATTTGGACAAATGTATGTGACATGTATCCACCATTACAATACCAAGCAGAGTAGTCTCAACTAATTTTTCACTATGTCCATAGTTCTCACTTTTCCAGAATTTCATACAGTTGAAGCATATAGTATGTAAATTTTTCAGATTAGCTTCTTTCAGTTAGTAATAATGTACTTAAAGTTCTTCTTTTTATGGCTTGATAGCTCATGTCTTTTTAGTGCTAAATGTTATTATGTTGTCTAGATGTACCACAGTTTTTTTTCATTCCCCTACTGAAGGACATCTTGTTTTCTTCCAAGGTTTGACAATTATGCATAAAGCTGCTCTAAATATTTATGTGCCAGTTTTTGTGTGGACACAAGTGTTTAACAACTTTGGATAGATACCAGGAAACACAATTACTGGATCATATCATAAAAAAAAGTGTTTTTAACAAAGCACCAACTGTTTTCCAAAGTGTCTGTACCTTTTGCATTCCCCTTGGCAATGATCAGAGTTCCTACTGCTCCAATTTCTCACCAGCATTTGATGTTACAGGTGTTCTGGGATCAGGTGATTCTAGGGTGACATTGACTCTAAGTTGTTTATATTTGCATTTTCTCAATAGCATAATATGGAGCATTTTTTCACATGCTTATTTGTTAGATCTTTCCATATTTATCTTCCTTGGTGAGGTCTTATATGTTTGGCTCATTTTAAAATCAGCTTGTTTTCTTATTGGTGAATTGTAAGAGTGCTTGGTATATTTGAGATAACAGCTCTTAGTTAGATGTCTTTTGCAAATATTTTGTTTTAATCTGTGGCTTGTCTTCTCATCTCTGACAGTTTCCTTCACAAGGCACAAGTTTTTAATTTTAATGAAGTCTTACTAATCTATTTCTTTTTTTTCATGAATTTTGCCCTTGATGTTGTATCAAGTTGTTGTCATAACCAAGGTCATGGAAATTTTCTCCTATAAAACTTTAGGAGTTTTTAATTTTGAGGTTGTACATTTAGGTCTGTGATCCATTTTTGCATTAGTTTTGGGAAGGGTGTAAGGTCTGTGTCTAGACTGATTTTCTTTCTGGCACATGGATGTCTATTTGTTCCAGGATCATCTGTTGAAAAGATTCCTTATTGTGTTGGTTTTGTTCCTCTGTCTGATTATTGACCTGAGTCTATTTCTGGCTATATAATTTCCATTGACCAATTTGTCTACGCCGTCCCCAAAACCACACACTGTCTTCATTACTGTAGGTTTCTATTAAGTCTTGATGTTGGATAGGTCATTCCTCCACCTTTGTTCTTTTTCAATATTGTATTGGTTAGCTGTGATGCTCCAATTTAAAAAAAAAAAATGTGGAAAGAGAAAAAAAATGTGTTGGTTATAGTGGGTCTTTTGCTTCTCATAAGTTTTAAAAATTAGTTTGCCAATATTCACAAAATTATTCACTGATTTTTGATTAGCATTGCATCAACTATAAGTTGAGTCTATGAACATGGAATACTGTTCCATTTTATTATTTATTTATTTATTTATTGGGATTTTAGTTTCCCTTACGTAGGTTTTAGGCATATTTTGTTAGATTTATACCTAAGTATTTCATTTTGAGGTGTGAATATTGTTTTTTCATTTAAAATTCTACTTTTGTTGCTGGTATTTTTTTTAAAAAAGCATTTAGCTCTTATATATTAAGCCTTGTATCCTGAAACCTTACTGTAACCTCTTATTCATTTCAGGATTTTGTTGATTCAGATTTTCTTCACAGATATCATCTACAAAAAGAGGTTTATTGCTTTGACTTTCTTCTATAATCACATTAGTAAGAAACTTTGAGTAAAATGTTAAAGGAGTTTTATGTTGGGGACACATCTGATTTTTAAGTTTTTTTTTAATCCTTTTAGTTATGAAAAATTGTGCTCAATTTCTGATCTGAGAGTTTTGTCTGATGTTTGCTGTCTCTCTCTTGATTGTGCTTTTGCATTTTGGTGTGCCTTGTAATTTTTCCTTGATGGCTGGATATGATGCTTTGGGTCAGTGTGTGCTGTAAATGGTCATGTGGTAGTAAGTTAAAGGGAAACTAGACTCCTATAATGAGGTGTCATTCTGTGGTGAGGTTGAGCCTGTGGATTGTGAATTTCACAGGTGCTTAAGTTCTTCTCTCCTTGGTCAGGCAGGACCAGATGGCTAGAGTGTGCTAGAGTTGCTATTTCCCTTATCTCATGCAGATTAGCTGATAATTCCCCAAAAGATCAGGCTCTGGTAACTGGTTTTCCCTGCAGGCCAGCCTTGCTGGGAAGAAGAGTTTTCTAAAATATTTCAGAAGGATTCTTCTTCCCCTCCTCTTTTGGAATCACCAGGGGATTTTTCTGATATTTTAGAGAACCTGGTTGATCTCCTAGAAGTGAGTCTTCCAAATTACAGGGTCCTCCCTGGGCCTGGGTACACCTGCAGTTTTTTTAATTTTCCCCAGTTGTCCACACTGAGCATCCACCAATTTCAATAAATTGTCAATGACAATTTAGGTCTCTGCTTTGTCTTGGGCCTGTTTGCTCTGAGCCTCTCGGGCAAGCCCTGACTCTTGGGATCACCTGTGTTTTTTCCTTGGGAGCAGTCATTTGCCCTGTGTCCTCACCTTTCTTAGGGATCCTAGAATGATTTTTTTTTTTTCAGTCTATTTAGCTTTTTACTTCTGATGACCAAATGGTGACATCCCAGCTCATTACAAAGGAAACCAGACCTACAAATTAGTTTGAAAAACAACTAAAATGGAAATCTTGACATTTTTATCATGGCTTATTTTTATTCATTGCATGAAATATTTGTTGTGTTTCACTATTCATTTCCACTGGAGGATTGATGATATGTTTATTTTCTAGGAGAGAAGTACCTGGTAACACTATTTCTAGTTACATAGACATTTTAAAGACGCTTATCAAAGATGGCCCAGAAATGGTAAGTGTCTAGTTGGTGTGTGTTCTTTAGTTCTAAATCTGCATTTACATGTACTTTAACATTTAGAAGGCTGCCCATGTTCCCCTAAACTAACCAACAACTGCCAATGTATCTCTAGAGTGTAGCTGAATGTGCACTATCAGGGCTTAGCTATTCCTTTTGCTAATGTTCTCAGGCTTTTTTTTAATAGTCTTATACTTGGACATTTACATTTTTCTAGTTTTCAATTATTTTGTTAAAATATTTATTTTTTAGTTGTAGTTGGACACAATATCTTCATTTTATTTTTATGGGGTGCTGAGGATCAAACCCAGGGCCTTGCACGTGCTAGGCGAGCGCTCTACCGCTAAGCCACAATCCTAGCCCCTTCTCAGGGTTTTGAATTTGGAATTATTTTATAAAGTGATATGACATATAAATTTAATGTAAATGGGTTATAAAAATCATCATGATTTTCATCTCCAGTTATGATCTAAGTAAATGTTTATTTAGTATAGTATTTCTTCTAGCTCGAGTCCTTCCTCTTGTTCAATGTTTCTTTCATCCATTGTTTTAGACCAAGTTGTCATTACCTGGTGTCTGAGTTACTACAGAAATATCCCATCTTTCTCCCTTCCTTGAATTCTTTTCCTTAATTCATCTTGCATCCTCCTCCTTCCCTCAGGATGATCTTTGACCAGGGAGGCTTTCTTAATCATGAGGCCAGTATGTTTTTCTTCCTTTTATATGAAGCCTAGACTTTCTTTTTTTAATTGCTATAGGGAATCTTGGGAGGCAAACACCTTTTCTGAGCCAATATCCATTTTCAAATGAAATGTCTTAGCTCTTCAGAAAAAGAGGTAAATCAATAAATAGAGATATATATTGGATACCACATGTTTTAAAGTATGTTTCCATTGTGGAATGGTTAATTCTAGCTAATTAACATGCATTACCTAATAGTTGTGTTGATGGTGAGAACACTTAATATCTACTCTCGTGACATTTTTTTCAAGAATATTATATACACCATTAACTATAGTCAACGTGCTGCCTGCTAGATTTCTGGAACTCATTCCTTCTACCTAACTATAATTATGTGTTATTTGACCAACACCCCTACAGGCTCCCCATTCTTGGTAACCAACCCCACCTGTGGTAAACACTGTCCTACTTTCCACTTCTGAGATCAACATTTTTAGATTACACACACAAGTTAAGTTTATATGATGCTTTTTGTTTCTGTACCTGGCTTATTTCATTTAATATCCTCCAGGTTCATCCGTGGTATCACAAATGACCAGATTTCCCTCTTTATAGTGAGTAGCATTCACTATGTTTATATATACTACTTTCTTTGACCATTCATCTCTTGGACATGTTAGTTGATGCCATATCTTGGCTATTGTGAATAGTGCTGAGTAAGCATAGGAGCACAGATACTTCTTTCATGAACTTGTTTCCTTTACATATATACCTAGCATGGGATCATTGGATCAAAGGGCAGTTCTGCTTTTAGTTTTCATGGAACTTCCCCTCTGTCTCCAATGATAGACTGTACTAGTTGACATTCCCACTGGCAGAGTGCAAGGGTGCCCTACTCCACACCTTTGATCACAGTCATCCTCAATGGAGTGAGGTGATGCCTCATATGACTTTGATCTGCATTTCCCTGATGATTAGTCATGTTGAACACATACCATGTACACCTGTGAAACATGCATAAATACATACACAAAATCTTATGCCTGCATTTTAGGATTTTAGTTGTAAGACAGAAAAATATTTGTCTAATCCACTGACTAATCCATTTGTCTAATCTCTCTCAATTTGGATTTGCTCATTTCCTCATAATTAGATTCAAGTCATGCATTCTTGCAAAATACCATAGATGTGGTAGTGGGTTTTTCTCAATCCATGATATCAGGAAGCACAGGATGTTGATTTAAATGAACTGGGACAAGTAGAGTACCTAGCAAGTACCCTATCTATAAAGATCATCCTGCAAATGGTGGCTTTCCTGATCCTGGTATCCTTCTGTGGATACTTTCAACCCATCCTTGTTAACTTCACCCTAAATTCTTGGAAATCGAGTCAATGGAACAAAGGATTTTTCAAGCTTAAGCATTGGATGCACACTTCCCAGTTTGCCAATTCTGCAGCCTTTTCCTTGTGATGTGATTCTACACTCTCTACTTCCTTAGACTTAGTCACTTAGTAGACTCTAGTTGGTGTTCTGCCTTGAAATGACTTTCATTTCTCTTATCATTACTGTCTTAAAGAGTTTCATGTCTGCTTGCTTTTAAGGTGGTTTTCATATTGCCTGATGATAGGAAAAACAGGTATGATGAAATAAAAAAATACTTGTGTGTTAAATCTCCAATTCCAAGCCAGTGTGTGGTGGCACATACCCTGACTAAAACCTGGACATTAAAAACCATGGTCGTAAAGATTGCCCAGCAGATGAATTGCAAGATGGGAGGAGCCCTCTGGAAGGTGGAGACAGGAGTATGTAGGATTTCATTACCTTCTCTTTTATTTGTGAATAGTGAAATTTAAGAGTCTGTTTTTTAATCTAACCATTAAGTTTTGTTCATATTCTGTTCTAAATTTACTTTTTTTTATTAAAAAAAAGTTGAAAAAGACAATGTTCGTCGGTATTGATTGTTTCCACGATATTGTAAGTCGTCAGAAGTCAATTGCAGGATTTGTGGCAAGCACCGATGAGGAATTAACCAAGTGAGTAAGCTTTGGTAGACATTTGATTGGTAGCTGTCTGTGCACCCAACCAAAGAGGCGACCTGACTCATACTTATTGGGAGTTCGGACGAGTAGTTCTTAGCCATGAGCTGTCCCAATTTTCTGGCAAAATTATGCTCCCAAAATATTTTGCATGAATGGTTGAGTTCGTGGGGGGTTTTTTTGTTTGTTTTTCATCTGACAGAGCAAAAAGTAGCAGATGACAATAACTGCTTATATTTAGTTCTTTGGGTGAGACTCTGAAATCATGAGATAGAAATTAAAATCTCAGCCGAGCCACATTCTCCTCTTCAGGCTCTCGTGGGTGTGGCAGAGGCCATTTCCTAGTGGTGCTAGCACAGAGGTCCCGATGCTTTGCTGGCTGTCAGTTGCAGGCCAGTCTAGCCTCTTAGAGGTCGTGCACATTCCTTTCCACATGCCCCCCCCATCTTCCAACCAGAGCCCTGGCCTGGAGGTATAGAATCTTGGCTTCTTCAGGCCTTTCTATGTAATGTACCCACAAAAGAAGATGTGCATCTGTATTTCCACAACACCCCTTTTCTTCTGGAGCCATTTCCCCCCCATCCTTAGAGTAGAAAACACACCACACCTTAAAATGAGTTTGTAGCCCTTGTGTATTACATGATATGTGGCCCTCAGATTACCCCTGCCCCCATGATTGATGTTTGTGGCCCACTAGAGGATGATTTCAGAGTGTTTTTTAGAGAAAATCCATCCTCATTTCCACAGATGACATCATTTCCCCCAGTGATTCTCTATTTCCACACAGTAACATTTTATACTGCTTTTTCTTTGAATTAGAAAATGTTGCGATAATGGGAAGACAGTGTCACTCAGTGGACATTCTGAAGTAATTTCTAGATTTAAATACTGGCAGTACAGCAGGGAAAACGGAGAACCAAATGCTGATGGTAACTCATGGAGGTTAATAAAGAGGCAGACAAATAAGTAGAGCACATAATGTCAGGTGGTCAGGTGAACTCCTTCTGAAGTAAACAGTAAAGAGATAGCAACTTGAGACATTTTATGAATTTTTTTGTGGGTGGGTGGTAACAGGGGTTGATCACAGCCACTGAGTCGCATCCTCAGCCCTATTTTGTATTTTATTTAGAGACAGGGTCTCACTGAGTTACTTAGCACCTTGCTTTTGCTAAGATGGCTTTATACCCATGATCCTCCTACCTCAGCCTCCTGAGCCACTTGGATTACAGGTGTACACCACAGTGCCCAGCCATTTTGATTTTACTGGACATGTTGAAGTTGTCATAATAGCTGTCAGTCTTGCAAATCAAATTGCTTCCTCAGATTATTATTATGGGTGAGCCCTTTGCCTAAGACATTGACCCCCAAAGCAGAAATCTCCAGGAGAAGAGTTTTCACTTGGTCACATTCCCCAGCAGATGAAACTAGAGTAGTCATGTATGTGGACAACATGAGTAATGTTTTAAAATGATTTTTTAGTTGCAGATGGGCATAATACCTTTATTTTTAGGTGGTGCTGAGGATCAAACCCAGTGCCTCACAATTGCTGGGCAAGTGCTGTACAACTGAGCCACAACCTCAGCCCCAAAATGAGTAATTCATAATAATTTTAACAGTTCTTGTTTGTGTGTATTCAAAAACCCTTATAAGATGCCTAAGATATCAAAAGAGACTAATACTTGATCATTGTAGATATGTGAAGGGATTGATCCTTAATTGGATCCTTTGGCTACTGGGGTGTGTGTGTGTGTGTGCGCGCGCGCCCGCATATATACACATGTATATATTCTTGTCATAGATTAACTCAGAATCCAAATGATGAAATTCTAAGATTCCAGTTAATTCTTTTTTTTTTTCTGAAAATAGGTGGTACTCTCAATGTATCTTCCAGGCACCAGGAGAGGAGCTTGTGGATGGACTGAAGAACTGTTTGCAAGGTCAGCCTTGGGGTTGGTGTACCATCGTTCTACATCAGTAGTTCTTCACAAGTGGAGATAGTGCCCCCAGAGACCAGTCATTCATGACTGAAAACAGTTTTTTGTTGCCACACTGGGATGATGGTTTGCTGGCATGTAGTCCAGCAGGTAGAGACCAGAAATGCTGCAAAACACCCCATTGTGTATGACATGACCACCCACACCCATACCACTCAAATTTCAATGGTACTTGTTATTGAGAACCCCTGGACTATTCTGAAGTTGGAGTCTGTGAGCGAAACTGTCCTGAAAGCTACAGTGTTGAAAGGTGAACCCTGACATTGTCAAAAAGAGCAGAGGCCAGTTTGTCCCAAGTTGAGGTGTGCTTACATGTTTCTGGGTTCCTTTCAGGTGCCTTGAATTCCTGGCTTAGAAATGTACCATATGCACCAGAATCTATTGTGGTCTATCGGGATGGAGTGGGAGATGGTCAGCTTCAGGCCTTGCTTGACCATGAAATATCTGAGCTCGTGAGCTACTTAGAAAATGAGTGCCCATATAGGTGAGTACATAAATTGTCCAGTTCAGATAATGTAAGAAAAAGCTGTTCTCGGGAAGGAAAAAAAAAAATCTAAGGGACATGTGAAGAGGAAAAAAAGGGGCTTGATTCACACAGTGGGCTTCAGTGGCTGGGTGGGCAGTTAACAGCCCCAGCCCTTTGACTTTGTGGTTCACACGGAGTCAGGGTGCAGAGTGTGGTGGCAGCCTGTTTCCCTTCATGGAGCACTGTGTGGAGTGCTCATCTGCCTTACAGATTCACAGATGTCCATGAGCACTTGGTCCATGGCTCTCAGATGTCACTCCTTTGATCCTGGAGTTTTTAAGTCTCTGTGCTGGGGCTCCCTCCTAGCTGTGTCCGCAGCCTCTTCTGATTGGGGGGCCTGCTGCCCAGCAGAGACAGCAGGACTGGTTCTGAGGTTCAGAGGAAGGGTCCCTTCACCTAGGATGTGGGTGGCTCTAAAGAGACTCCTCCTCTTCTACTGCCCCACTTGGGTACATGCAACCAAGTGTTTAAACTGGGCTGTATGGAGGGGGGCTGCTGTCCACAGGCTTTTAAATAGTGTGTGAGGTTCTAGCACCCTGAATGCTTCTGAGATGAGATTGAGTAAACATCCTAATTTATCCTAATTTTTCAAGTATCAAGTTAACTTTCATTGTGGTGAAGAAACGAATAAACACCAGGTTTTTTCTTAAACACAATCGAAGACTTGGAAATCCAGCTCCAGGAACTGTTGTTGACATGATGGTAACCAGGGAGCAATGGTAAGAGGGTTTTCCTTTTATATCTGCATCTATAACGTTCTCAGTTCACCTTGGCAAAATCCCTTCATCCCAGTAACTTCACCTTAGAAGCATTTTCTCATGCTTGACAACTAATTTGATCTATATATTTTTTCACACTTGGCCAGGAACTCTTCATTTGGATTTAGAAATTGTGATTGGTCTTATGGTTGTTTCTTAAGTATTTTTTGTCTGTGGCAAAATAAAAGTAATTTTATTGTGGCCTAAAATGCCTTCATTTAAAGTCGTAAATGGGCTGGGGCTCAGTGGTAGAGCGCTTGCCTAGCATGCATGAGGCACTGGGTTTGAGCCTCAGCAGCACATAAAAATGAATAAATGAAATAAAGGTATTGTGTCCATCTACAACTAAAAAAATTTTTTTAAAGAATAGCAAATTGTGTTTGACAGCTGGGAGTTGTCACAAATCAAATATGAAATATGCCCTATGAGAATGTCTATTTAAGTAATAACCTGAAGAGGTTTTCAGCTTTTAAAAATGTCTTGATGCTTTTAAAGGGGGCAATATAAAAAAAAAGTTTCTCTTATGACACTTATCCTGTAAGAACATGGACAAATAATGCATTATAAAGTAATATTGGATAAGCCACAAAATAGTTTTATATTGTCAGCTCTATTATCCTTTTATATTGTCAGCTCTATTATCCATGAACATCTGCAATAAATCGGAGCAGTCACTTATGAATTCTTTTCATATAAGGAAGCAACCCACCATGAGGGAGAATCAGCAGACAAAATGACAACAGGATCAGACATCCAAAACTTTTAGACAATGAAATGATTGCAATAATTCCATAGTAAAGTATGCTTAAAAGGGAAGATGGAATGAAGTCATGGAATAAAAGTCATAAGAAAAGTAACTAAGAAATGTTGAATTAAAAGGTCAATTTGGACTTGGATAGTTAACAATGATAAACTTTACAAAAATAAAGAAATTGGAGCAAGTATCAAAGTGAAGTTTACCTGGAAAGAAAATGGTTAATTAGAAAATACATTAAGTATCCATGATGCAGTAGTGAGCCTTAAAATATGGAAGCTAAGAAAGAAATGCTCAGGAAATTGAGGCAAAATAAGACTTACTGTATATCAAATAGAAGGTTCTACAGGAAAAACATGGGTAGAAGTAATAAGCAAAGACAGACTGAGATTCTGAATCTTCATGTTTGAAAATAATAAAATCTGAGCAACAATAAAAATGAGTCTCCATTTAGTTGAAATTTAAGAACAGCAAGAATAAGAAATTTTAAAAGCAGTCAGAAGAATACTATTTATATTTATAAACAATAATTATTCAGTACCAGTAATAGAAACAATAGTGATATTGTATCTTCAAACTGCCTCCAAAATATCAAACTAGAATTTGATAGCCCCCTAAGCTATCAACAAGCGTACCTAAAATACAAACATGCTTAGGTAAACATATGGTGTCCACTTGAGCAGATCTACCCAGCTCTCGCTGAAAGCCTTGACTTCATAAGTAATGAATAACTGCTAGGTATATTAAAACATCGTAGAGTTCCATTCTTATGGATGTCTGTGTGTTTTTTTAAATAGTAGATCTATAAAACTATAATCATATTTAATTAAAACATTTTAAGGTTCTCAGTTACTGGGGAAAACAAGAGCTTCTGGTTAACTTTAGATGTAGATGTTTCATTTCCATAATTGAGTTATATGAAATTGGAATGGGAAATAAAACATATGAATAGAGGGAAGAAATGAAATTACATTAAGGAAGGGCAGAAACATTGATCAATATAGTCTAATACAGGAAAGAACTAATTCAAAAGGCAAAAGTATAATAAAGCATTACATAGGACTGTACACATAAAAATAAAATTCAGTATTTACAACAAATGGAAATAGATTAACCTTGCCAGTTGTGTCATTTACAGAAGCCTGTATCCCCGGCCCAAGAAGCCTCATCTTTAAATTTCTGCATCTAATTACCTGTTGCCACCCAATGTGCCAATTCTGTTTCTTTTCCTGGGCATCAGTACCTATATTTCAAGTCTCCATCTCAGGAAAGTTATTATCTACCTGAACTTAATGGTCCTTTATGGACTTGCTTTATCAAATCATTGTTAGACAGGCTTCTAAATTGAAAGGAAACTCTGTCTATAGAACAGATTTCTGTAAATTAGTAAATGAAATATTTTCATCTGATACTAGGGTTATCATATTCTACTCTAAAATAAGCAGAGACCCCCGTGTTCTGTAATTGCAGGTATGACTTTTACATTGTAAGTCAATCTTCTACAGTTGGTACTGTGACTCCCACTCATTATAATGTTATCTATGACACCGTGTGCTTGGACCCGGATACAGTCCAGCGTTTAACTTACAAACTGTGCCACATGTACTACAATTTGCCAGTGAGTATTTTATTGTGATTTCCCTTCAAATCTGTAAAATGTGTTGTTTAAAACTGAGCAACTTTTCAACCTCTGAATTGATATCTATGACAATGTAAACTTAGAGATAGTAAATGTCCATTTGAGTGTAAAGTAAAAAAATATTTTTTTTTCTTTCTACGAAAGGGCATCATCCGAGTTCCTGCTCCTTGCCACTATGCCCATAAACTGGCTTACCTTGTGGGCCAGAGTCTTCACGATCAGCCAAGTAGCTTACTAGCTAACTCTATTACCTTTGAGCTGCAGAAGATGTGATATTGAAAACCACAATTCGTACATTAAAAAAAAATTTTTTGAAGCTGGATATCTGAAATAGATTCATAGCTAAATTGTAATCATTTTTTATTGCACATGGGAGAATGTTGAACAGCATCAGAGATGGCAAAGAAGAAAACCAAACCAATATCTAGCAGAAAGAAATTTAGAAATATTAACTCTGGTATTTGGGATTGCTTATTAAACCACAAATTCCACAGGAGACAATTGAGAGAGAAGTTGAATTTATGTTGACAGATTGATGGGTCCAAATCAGTGGTGCTTTCTGCTTAAAATACTACCCCTGACTTGACCCAAGGCTGCCTTTCCAGCCTGCAAAGAACTGACAGAGGATTGTCTTGCAATTTCCCTTTCAAATGTTGCAAAGCTTAAGTAATTAAATGTGCCCAAACACTGTGCGTTCCAAGTGGTGTGCTGATAATTGAAAAGGGGGCATTAGTCATCTATGGATTATATCTTTGAACAGATGTCTATTTGGAGAGGTAATAGAGAACCTGGTGATTTAAATTGGCAATTTGGGAACATGGACAGCTTTTGCCACTTCTACCACAAAGGATATTAACATCTCTTAGCCTTTCTTTTGCTTGCTGTCCCAGTGTGATGCCATATTAACTGCACCATCATCAGAGTTTTCAATCTGTTGTTTAACCTTACCTATGAGGGCACATGCTTTCTCGGGAACCACACAGGTTACTCTTTCCACTTAACAGGATTCTTTGAATGGACTCAGGAAAACAAATGTATGAGAACTTTATTTTCTCGTACTCCTTTAAACACAATGGTACTTGGGCAAGGCAGGGTGGGCAGAGATTAGTTTCAAATATAACAGAAGGTATGCTAGGAAATAACTTGCTTTAATTATATGGTAATTGATTTTGTTTTGCGATTTGTGCCTGTCTGATTAAAAATAATTATTTAAGAAAATTTTTTGTAATATAGGTGAAATTCTAGTGAGATACACAGCCGACCATGATAGAGGAGATAGGCCCATAATTAAACAAGGGCTAAGGCAAATGTTCTTTTTTTGAAGTTAGAATTTGGTTTATGTTGTTTCTAGAAATCTAAAAGATTAATTTGGAAAGAAAGAGTAGAACACTGCTATTAATTTATAGGAAAAAGTTTGCATATATACAAATGTCATTCCTAATGCTATTAAACTTAAAATGATATCAATAAAGCTATTCAGATTAAAGTCATTGAGTACCTTAATATGTTCTGATTAAATTGTTGCTTTTCTAAGATGAATGGAAATATTACTGAAACTGGGGCATATCTCATTTCACTAGCCTATTAGTCTTTTATAAAACTGTGTGAAATGCAAGTTGGGCATGCTGGTATATGCCCAGTTACTCTGGAGCCCAAGGAGGATTGCAAATTTGAGGCCAGCCTAGGAAATTTAATGAGATCTTGTCATAAAAATATAAAAGGGCTGGGGATGTAGCTCAATAGTAGAGCCCCTCTGACTTCAAATCCCTAGTATTGGCAGGGGGGAACATTAGGTGAAGGAAGTTGGGTATTCAGTATGTGCAAAAAGGAAATCTTACCATTCCAAAGGCTTATAAAAATTTCTGTAAATGTGTCATACACATCAATGTCTGTTTTACATTGTTGAGAAGGGGCTGGAGAGTGCAAATTAAAGGCCTATCAGGAATGCATCCTGTGTAGCAATACAATAATAACTTAGGAGAAAATGCACTTCCTAATTCTGGCAATAGTGAATAACATACAGCTGGCACCCCAGATCTGAGTTCTGCATCTGTGGTTCAGACAACCTCAGACTGAAAATAAGTGGGGGGGAAGGCATCCTCTGTACAGAACATGAACAGACTTAAGAATTCTTTGTCAGTAGAACCAAAATAATCCAATATAATTGTTTATTTACACTGTATTTGGTATTTGTAATCTGGAGGTAAAATATACGAAGAAAAGGTTATATGCAAATTAACACTTTTATATAAGAGACTGAGCATCTGCAAATTTTTGTGTCCTGGGAGATCTTGGATCCAATCTCCCATAGATATTGAGGGGAAGCTGTATGTCAGCTATTTCCCTGAGCACTGATGAAAAAGCTGGACAAATCATATGTTCAAAGAGATAGCAAAGCAAACTGTACCAATATTTAGAAGGAAATCTGGAAAAATGGTATTTTTTATACCCAAAGTCCACAGTAGGCAATTGAAAAGTTGGATTTATTTTGATAGAC